GTGAAACATTTGGTAAGGGTCTGTCATTATATTTGGGGTATGCATGAGATGCTAACTATTATGCTATCAGTTGTCATTTTACTAAAATTTTTATGTTGCCAAATGAGTGTCTTAATTATATAGTATGGTAATCAAAAAAACTAAATTTAACTAAATTGTTCAGTCATCTTTAAAATCTACTAGTCTCAGTGTGAGAATATTTTGGGACTTTGTAAGTGTTCTACAATTCTCACATTTCAAATTTAAAATATGTCAACACCATTGGCCAGTGCTATAGGTAGCAATTTAATAGGGGAGGGAAGGGTTGAACCCTTTGAAATTATTTTATTTAGGTCAATAATAAAAAATAGAATAGAACCTTCATCCTCAGATAGTTTTTCAATTTCCGCTTATGATTAACACTCACATATTTGTTGGTTTCAAAATTTAAATATATAATCGTTGTATTTGTCTGGTTGTCTTATTACAATAATTAGCTTATTAAAATAATTAAATCTACTAAAAATAAGGTAAATTAAATAATTATCAAATAAAAATACTATAAGCTCATTATATCATAATTAACACATTTATTTCTATGAAAAAATTACTTTATCTTAAGTCAAACAGTGTTTTCTTTAAAAGAGGAAAATTTACACTGTTTTAAAAATTGTTAACAGATCTAATTATTAATCTATTATATAAGGTGAATGATTTTTAAATTATTTAGTAATGATTTTGATACATTTAATATAACACTTATAATTTTCTTTCAGATATACTTATATGAGTACAATGGTGGATCAAATGTTCCCCGTGTTACCCATGCAAGAGTTGGACTACAACCAATTTATATACTGGCGTGATCCAGTTCCAGATTTCAATTAGAGGAAATTTACCATTCCTTGAAATTATAATATTTTAAACCATATATATTTAATATTTTACAGATAAGATTGCCTTAGTGACTTATTAATTTTTTTTTGTTGTCAAATATAAGTTGAATTAATTTAATTTATGAATACATATTTTAATACTCATTATCATAAACTTTCAATGATAAGTAAAAGAAACATGGGGGAAAAATAATGATATTTATTCAATCATTGTGATATATTAAGACATATTATTATAAGAGTAATCGAATAGCGATAATCATATTTTTAAATGTTATTTTTTTGTGATAATTATTAAATTTGCCATTTTTATTGGACTAGAATTAGTTTTAATTTTTTGTAGAATAACCTGGCATATTTCCACTATCATTTTGCATTTTGAAGTATTCTTCGTTCAACTCTTGTAAATTCCTTTCAAGACTTGCAACCTCATCAAATCGGTAGGCTTCTTTGGCTTGTTTAATATAGTTTTTTATAATGTTCATCTGTTCCACCACAGGATTGTCGGAATTGACATTGGCATTTGTTACAGGACTCCAACCATCTTCAAGTCTTAATTTAATTTCCTGTTTACAAACAAATGATATGTAATGTTAACATTTAAAACAAAATTTGCATGAAGAAAATAAATAATGATTTGACCAATTAAATTACATTTTTTTGTGTACTGTGTCGCTTCGAAACGGATTGACTAATTTTTGGCTTATCTAAGTCTTGACCATTACGGAGACGTGCCTCGGCTGCTTCACTAAAAATGTATTTCATAATTATTTATTTCTTAATTTCTTTTAAACAGAATAATTATTGTTAATATATTTAATAGCATTTATGTAAAATAGTGAGTTAATAATTATGAACATAAACAAGTTTAGTAGAATTAAAAATTTATTTCAATGTAATACAATTGATGAAATATGTTTACCGTTTTCTTTGAGCAATTTCTTCAATTTCTTTCAGTGAAGGAAGAGCAGGTATTGCAAGTACAGTTGATTGAACACATTGTATCATAGCCAGTCTAATATTTTTTGTAGTAACCTTTGATGAATTTGTATCATTTTCCAATTTTAATATCCTATTACTGCTCAACAATTATATACAGATAATAAAAATTAATAAAATTAAAGGAAAGTTATGAGTAGGATTAAATTTAAAAATGTTGACCTTAGAGCATCTATTGCCTCGGCAAGTTTTACTATATCACTTCTAATTCTGTTGGCTTCTGTCAAATACGAAGATTCTCCTTCCCTATAATGAAAACAATGATCATGAATTTTATTTAATACATAAAATCAATTTTATCAGTAGTAAACAATTTACTTTAATAGGTTATATGTTTGGTTGAATTTAATTAACAGATCGTTTTCAATTTTATTACGACATTCTATGATTTTATCATAATAATCACACATGAGAGGCTTTAGGTCGCGGTATTTGATTTGCTCACGGTTTTCTAACACCTGTCCGCAATGAACGCATAAACGGAAACTTGGTGAGCTCTGTGTTAAAGAAGTCAATTGGTTTTTAGCAGTTTCATTTATCGTTTCATCTATCGAAATAAAACATTTTTTAATTTGATGGGTCATTGGCTCTAAATTAATTTGTTTTAATATAATTAGTTTATCATTTTTTTAAAAGTACCAACATGCTTTAGCCAATGGTAGAAAACAGCTGCACTCATGACATACAATAGAACCACACAATCTACAATGATGTTGTCGCCTTGTTATATTAAATGACTTAGTACAATCTGGACATCGTGTAACGTCTTTACCATCTAACCAATGTACTATAGTTTGTTCATGAGCTACATTATAAACAGACAACAGATAATTATTTTTTGATTTGATATTTTATAAAAATTACATTAAGGAAAAATACTTTTCCGTTTATTAGGATCTTGAGGTAAGTTGCAAAGTAACTTTTCAAGTCGTACGACTGTTTTATTTGTTTCCATTACAAAGTGTTCAACCCATTTATTACGACAGTGTTTAAAATACTGAAAGTGGGACTGGACCTCTCCTATTAATTAAACACGATGTGAATAATTATAACAAAAATGTGCTAATGAGTATTGAGTAAATAAAACATACCTATTTCTTGAGGTTCCCACACATAATGGCGTTCTTCTTTTTTCCCAATATCATTCTTCAAAATTTTTTCTTTGGCTTTACCAAATAAATCTAAATAAAAATTGAATTACCACCATATGCATTTGCATATTATTACACCGGTATTGAGGTGTATACAGGAATAATCATACCTTTAAATGATTTGACTAGATCTTGATCTTCGCTATGAGCTTCTTGAAAATGTAAAAATAACTTAAGGTCTACACCAAAGTCAACTTTGCATATAGGACATAAGAATCCCTCTAAAACTATATTTTCTTCACCAGCTTCAGTCATAATGAAAGAGTTCCATAAATATAAATATAAAAATTGTATATTGTAATATTGAAATTGAACAAATAAGATAAAACTTTATTCCTCATTTCCTCAAATTATTATCAAATAAATGTATTATATTCAATTTTGTGTTGTTATATTATATTGATAACCTAACCATAGATATTAAAGAGATTATTAATATGGGAGTAACTGATTATAGCCTGATAGATAACCACATTCTGCAGATCATGGTTATTTGTGAGTAGATAACCGTGGTCATAATATTTTTTCTGTGTATTTAGATAGAATAATATGATGAATCCAGAATCATTGACGAATGACGATTCAAATTGTTGATCCCATCGAATGTCCTAAGCAGCCCAGAATATTCTATTCTGTTGTGTTATTCTGTGTACATGGTAAACACGTTAAAAAGGTATCTTCTTCTTTAAAGTTTAAACTTTAATTGTGCTCCTCTAAGTAATAAGTATAATAAAATATTTAAGTTATTGTTAAACCGTACTACCGTACATCATTTATTCACATTTCGACGTTCTATTTAATTTATATCTACTTTACTGTTCATATTATATTAAACTTGTCTATTGTAACTGTGATTGTTTGATTAAATACCTCTGTAAAATTGTGTCGAGTAATAGCATTGATTATACATAGTATTATGAGAAATTTGTCTTTGGAAGTATGTATTAAAAAAATATGAAAAAAATTTAAGTTTTGGCTCAGAATTAAATTGTATGTTTGTAGACTACTATACAATATTGGTTTTTACAAATATATATTTTTATGTGTGCTCTTAAGTGTTTAGGTTTAATATTATTACTTGAAAACAATTTGAACTCTTCAAAATATATATATATTTTATTTTTTCCTTAAAATTCAAAATGTGAAAAAACATTATCGTAGAATTATTATATTAATTAGTGAATTGTATGTGTACTCAAATTAATACTATTGAAAGATACCATTATAAGTATTTTTAAGATCTTGATCTTGATAATTAAATTCCATTCTTGAGTTTAGCTTTTAATACATAAACTAGTATTTGTGTAAACTTTAGTGTACGGTTTATTGTTTTTCAACTAAGAAATATTTAAATGTAAATCTATAAATTAAATTTTATTCTATTAATACTATATTTTTTTTATAAATTTATATATACGAGATCTTACTAACAAACTAATGCGTTTTGAGTTTTAAATTATAACATTATATAGCTATATAAAATTATTATAATAATCATATTATGTATCAATTATCCTATTCCTTTACTGATTTACACAATAGGCATGCATAATTGGTAAAAAATATTGTTTTTTTTTTATATTATTATAAATGTACAAATTAAAAATCAGTGAAAGATCATTTCCAGTTTTTAATTTATATTCATATTAATTTCTTATAAGTATTATACAATAAAACACGTATATTATCACTCTTATTGGTTCTTAAACATTGGTGTCTTCAATTATTGAAAGTTGTAGCAGCGTTAATTACTATGTTTACATGGTTCAAACGGTTTTATCAGTTTTTTTTTAACAATTAATGATTAATTACTCGTCTTTTAAGATTTTAGCTAAAATAATAAGTTCCTAATATTCTATTTTAATATTATTGTACAATTTATTACAACTTCTGTAATTGGTTTATATATAAAATATTAAAATATAAACAAAAGTATAATGCTACTTTACTTTTCAGATCCTTTGAATCATTATAGATGGAAAATACTGCTAAGCAGATTCATTTGTCACGTGAAGAAGAAGACCAAAATGAAGAAGAAAAAACTCGTATTTTAGAATTAAGAGCTCTAAAGGAGTCTACCTTAAGCCGTTATACACCTGAAGTTAGGAAATCAGTAGATTTAATAATTGATGAGGTGCTGTGTGATACTATATTTAATATTCATAAGGAATTAAAATTAGGAATTCTTGATCCAAGGCGGTTTGATTCTAATTACAGAAAAAGCACTCACACTTCAACCTTAGTAAATATGGCTGGACATTTGAATATTACTAAGTCAACTCAGGAAGTTGAATGTCCCAAATGTTTTGTCTCGGTGAAGTGTCTTTTGTTATCTAAACATTTAGCATTGTGTATGAATCCAGACCAAAGCACTTATTCGTATAGTAGTAGAAATAGTTCTCGAATAGCACGGCAGCGTATACAAGAAGGTTTTAAGACCTCTTATGACGAATCAAAAAATGATGGTGACGATGAACGAGTTAAACCGAAGAGACGTAGCAACAAAGGCAAAAAGACACAATCAAAAGCGTAAGGTAAAATTACCCTAGTCTAGTTATATCTAGTTTAAAATGGTTTAACAGTTATTAGAAATCAGCCATGTTGTAGGTGTATTTTTTTGAAATTTATCAAGTTGTTAATTTTATGTTGATAAATTATAACCATAAATATGTTTTGTACAATATCTTATATTATGTTATTCCCACAAGTTATGACAGCCAATGTGTGGTAATATTTTTTTACATTCTTATGCTGGGTTGCAGTGTTGCACTAAACATTTAATCAATCAATAGTGATGTAATGGTCCCTTAAACCAGATTTAGTGGCTTGCGATTGGTCCATTAAATTTAATGAATTGTTTATGCAACCCAGCATTAGAGTATGACAACATTTTAAATGTAAATCAAGCTAGGTATTAAATATTTTACAGCAATGTAAAATGTTTTAATGTAAATCAATATTAAAATTTCAAATCAAGAGTTCAGTGCTTAATTTACAAACCAATTGTTATTTTATAATTAGGTTTATATTTTTATATTATTTTTTAATGATAACTTACCAACTACTTTGTATTCATAAGATGAATTATAATAATTTAATTTAATCAATTCACACATTAAATGACTCGTTATAATCTAACACATTACTGATCTGTTTTTATTCATATTTTGATTTAAATTATCTTATATTTTAGTTACCTAAATAAAATATTGTACGGTGTACATTTTTTTGTAACTAACAACCTTGCTATTATTATAATTATTTTAATTTAATATTTTCTTCCATATTTCCTACTTTGTTTCCTTGTGCGTATTGTACATACTTTAAATCTGTGTTCCCCAAGCTTTTTATTATAGCTACCCACAAATTTACCTTTTTTAAATACTTAGTTCTGTTAAATATAAAGATTATATTTACACTTAAATTAGATTTCCTATTGTTATTAATTTACGACTGCAAACCATAAAAAATATTTTGAGACTCAATTGCAGAGCATGACCTCAGACCTGTAGGTTGGGAAACACAGCTTTAAATGCTAATTGCTATTAGATTAATCATTTAAAGTACCCATTTAAATATTATTTAAGATCTACAATACCACTGTAAAATTGACGTTACTATGATTTATCAATAATCCATATTAGGTACACCAAAATTGAAAAGTTTCTAGTTACTTATTCATTTTTTATAATTTACAGGATATAGTTCCATTTTATAGTTCCCTTATCAAAAGATGCCACAATGTCATAATCAACTCGCTAACAATAGCATACTTGGCTAACACACAGCTACCTTATGAGACGAGAAGAACCAGATCAATGCTTAACTTGTGGGAAGATCAAACAGTGAAACGTGTCCTACTTTACTATCGCAACTATGCAGCTACCAGAACAATCATAAGTTTACCTGAACACCTATACAAAGCATTGGGGCTGACCAAGAAAACATCCCCAAAATCATAAAATTCTTAAAAATTGATAAATTATATACTTCTAATTTTTTCTTGTATAAACTTGTACATTTGTATTGTAAAATTCCATACTGTTAGATTTAATCTCATGATGTAAATGTATATATTAATGTTGTCAATATTGTAAGCTTATGACCTTAGTAGTTGCGGCTCTAATAAACAAAATAAATAAATAATGTACAGGAAATATGTTTCTCATCTTTTTTTTTAATTTTTTTTTTAGAGAGTAATTGCCTGTTGAATTCATGTATGCTGTACATATATACGCTTCAAATGAGTAGATACCTCTCATATTAAATAATGCAATATTGCAATGCATTTATATTTTGAGCATTATGAAAATCTCAAGGTTTTGTAACCATTTCTACTGCAGTAATGTCAATATTTATAGGGAAAAAACTAAATAATTATAAAACTAATAATATTAATCCACCTTCAGTGTAGGCCTATACTCGTATGTACACTGTACCTATGTTTGACTTTAATTTGTGTAGACTTTTTAAAAGTAAAAACGGGCATGTCTCGTTCATTTAGATGATTTCAATATTTTATTGCGATGACTATTTCAAGCAAAACAGTCATACATATTATACGATTTGTCTAGTTTTGAAGTACCTACCTTTGTATAAAGGGACAATCGATCAAAAACTCCAAAACTCCAAAATATTCAATCAAGTTTTCATTTATAATAATATTATATTAATAATTAATACTAATTAAAAAAATGTAATGAATTTTCTTATACAGTATTAATATATTACCTATATTAAATATTTTATTACTATTCCTTATACTCATTATTCAAAATAATAGCCAATATAAAAGTAAGTTCAAAAATATAAACCTTGAGGCTTTTACAAATTTCATAAAAAATGTTTAAAAATATATTTTCTTTTAAATCGCATAGGTCATTGTTTAAGAAAACATAATTTATTTTAAATTATTATTATTATTGTATAGTGATCGATGTTTGTATTGACCGCTTTTTAAAAATTGTTTATAATATTTGTAAAAGCCTTAAGGTTTATGTTTTTTCTTCTATAATTTTTGAATTTTCTTTTATATTAATCAATATTTTAAATTTTCATATGGAGCCATAATATTTATAATTTGTAGGTAAGTATTTGCGATTGGAATTGATAAGATGTAAAGGGGACGCTGTGTATCATTTATATGTTATTTTACATCACAAATTTCTATACATTAGTAGTATAGAATTCTGGGCTTACATGTTCCCCGTTACAGATCCACCCCCCCGCCGGCCTGTTAATTGATAAGCTTTCAATCGCTTATAAGGAATAGTAATCAATCATCAAATATAATAGAATATTAATTACATTTTTAAAAAAAATATAAATTATATACATAATTATTAATGGAAATGTAATAGAATATTTTGGATTTTCGTACTTTTTGTCCGTGATTTGTATAATAGTATACGTCTTGTATTAGGTGAGATAAGTTATACATATTAGAATTTTACAATCGGCTTAAAAGAAATAGGTAACTACGTAAAAAGACATAATTTTTAAAACTTTAAAATAAAATGAATGCTTTTTGAAACTTTTTCTTCACAGCATTAAATATAATTAAAAAATGAAGAAAAAAAATTTTAAGACAATGCAATAACCAATAATATTAATATAATATATAGGTAGGTTTAATATTATATTAGGTAGAACTATAAGAGCAGTGGTGGTCCAATGATTTTGTCAAAGGGAGGAGGGATATGGCTAATTTTTTAACATGGACTACTTGATTATTAAAAATATAATTTATGCCTTATGATTATCAGATCTTAAACATTGGAAAAAAGTTCATGTGGGGGGTTATATCCCCCTCACCACCATTTGACCACCACTGTGTAGAAGGTACCTACAGTTAATGCTTATTTTTATACAAGTACATAATCACAATTAATGATTAGAATTTAGATCCCTAGTACAGTAGTACAGTTATTGTAATACAGTTTTATTATGTATAGATACTTTCTAAAATAGTAAAATTTAATGCAAATAGGCGTGGGTGTTTTTATTTTTGGCTTATATAGGTAAGCACGTAAAATAGACACATAACTGTCTTTTCTCTATTGTATCTTTGTATCATTAAACTTATATAGGTATCGCTGAGTAGGGCTAGGATAGTAGAATATTTGAGCACTTCAGCACTCCTCAACAATACAAAATACAATAGTTTATTTTTAACATGGTAATTTAATATTTTAAATTCGGTTTGAACATTTTATATATAAATCTTGAACAAACAAGCCAATTCAATAAAAGTTTTAGTTTTATAAAATATGAACTTGTTAATTAAAAAAATGATTCAAATACTATGAAACCATCAAACGTTAGATTCAAACTGCATTGAGTAAAACACAACAGTGGCAGACTCAGCGCTTAAATTCGGGGGGGGGGGGGGGCTTTGCTACCCACCTGCATCACTAGTAATAACTAACAAAAATTACTATGATTCGGGAAGTTATTTGCAAGATTTTTTTATGCTTCTAGGAGATGGTAATTGGCAGACTAAATTAAACTTTGGGTATTTTCATCATATATCATCATTCAACCACAAGTATTAATTGTATGAATCAAGTATTTAAATGTGTAAATTCAGGAACTGCCGAACTGAACTGTTCTAATTAATTAATATTTCATGTAGGAAAATTTAATATTTTATCAATTCTGACTCCTATAAGAGGTTACAACTTACAATTACAATTCTGAAATTAATTTATATAAATCAAACTTATATTTTACAAGCATTTTAAAATTAACATACAAAACAAATTGCTAAACCAATATAATTTTTTACATCAAGTAAAAGTATGAAATACAGTATCTAATATTTTATTGGTTTGTGAAGACTCAAAAGTGCTGCATCTGCTTCGAGTAGGGTTAAATCTTTTTCAGAGCCCAAAAACCGAGTAGCTAATTCTAAGGACTTGATCCTTAATTTTACTTGTGATCCTCGTACAAAAGAACTATAAACATACAAGAATTAAATTTTATTATAGTATTTTCTAGATTTTATACAAGACAAAATGTTTCATTTTTAAAATGCGGTTACATAGTCAGTGAAGATGTAATAAGATATTTCATGAGGCTTATTGCCAAATACAATTTATGAAAACTTAATATAGAAAATAAATGATAAAATGTTAAAAAACTTAAATAGTAGTTAGTTATTGAATTTACTATTTAAATCATGCTATCAGTATTAATTGTCATGTAATAATAACATATTTGAACATAACAGCCACTGTAATATGAACAAAATACAAATACAATTTTATTTATACTGATTATCTACAATAATTTACAAGTAATAGCACATAATTATACATCTCTATTAAATTATAAATGTTTTACTTTTGTTTTCCAGTATTTAATAATTGCCATGCAATCAAAATAAAGAAGATAGTATTTTAATTATATAAATACAAATTACAAAATGCATTTTATATAATCATCCAAGGGATAGACAAAATCAAGGGGTATGGAGAACATAGTAATCAAAATCAATAAAAAATCCTCACAGTTTAAAATAAATTAAATATTTAATTTTATAATTTATTGTGACGTTTCTACAATACAAGAAAAAACAATTATATATTTATAGTATTATGCTGATTTTACTATGTATAAGTAAAAGTGTAAAACCTCAATGGATCTGTACTTTAAAATCTAGGTGGCGGGACGTCACACATGAGTAATTACATCTTATGCTAAAATTAATATTCATCCCACCATTGTACTAAGTAATATTAATTATACCTCAAATTATACTTACTCAGCATTTTTAATTGGTCTTGTACAAACACAATGGAATTTCCATCCAAAGTCAATGTACAAATCATTATCAACAATATGAAATATAGTTCCGATCACTTGTTTGCCCTCAGGATCACCAAGCTGTTAAAGAAAATCACATAAGAATAAATTAAGATTATAATAGGTCACAAGTTACATTTATAAAATTTGAATTCCTCAAAAGCATTTCAAAGTCTTGGTCTTCTTCAACAACTTGTTTGTTCTCTTTGGTTTTTTCATAAAACTCGGCAAAAGCACCATGTTTTAAAGTAGCTAACTTGTCTTGTTCTTCACCATGACTATAAGGTCGAATAAATTCCATTGTAGACACTCGTAATTTTGTTGTAATTATTTTTGATAATGGTGTATTTTTAATGTTTTTACAAAATATTCGGCATGCACTTGCCATTTTAGACAAAAAATTAATTTACCAAATTAACTTGAATGTATTATTTTAAAAGTAGAATTGCAGACAAATGAATTATGACAAAACTGTAAGAATTATTATGGAAAAAAAAATTAGGCAGCTGTAGACGTCTTGTAGGTACTAAGAAGCGCGGGTAGCGGGTTGATCAATTAATTCAATATTTCAATCCGTGCCATCGAGCATTGTAGCCCCAAAATTCTAAAATTTTAGCAAATGTGTCCTTTACAACACGTTGGCTAAAGCCTAAATTAGTAAAATATACTAAATTCTGTCATTCTGTGGCTGTCGGCCGATGAGGATGTTATCAATTATCATATTTGTAATGTTGTTACTGGTAATCGGTATACCGGCGATTGGTGATAGAAGTCGTTGGATAAAAAAAATATAAAAAGGTTAAATTAGGTTTAAACCATAGAGTAATGGTTACTTTATGGTTTAAACTGTATATATATCTCAGAAAAATCAAAATAGTAAATAATGTTGACACGATAAGATATTTCAAAACAAATAACAATCGTAACACCCTTATAACACATTTGTCATTTACACATTGAAACTTTTAACTTAGTTACAGACTTACAGTAAGTGACTACAGTTCTACAGTAATACAGTTCAGTGTTCTATAAGTGTAAACTGAACGTCTGTGATAGTGTGATCTGTAACAATGTTACAATATCTATAGGTAGTAAGCACTTTATTTCAACACCAATACAACTTTAAGTCTAGTGTTCACCGTTCAAAAGATAATTCTATGATGCAAATCAAATAATAATTATAATTAATTGCTTGATGGGTATTACAATTTACAACAATAATTAAATTATGGTTGGTAATTAATTTTTCAGCCTTTATTTATCGATTTTTCTTCAGTCATTATGAAAGTGGTAAGATCAAAAAACAAAATACTTACAATTTTACTCTGCTTATAATAATTTATATTTTTTATATGTACAGTACTGTTTAAGTGAAGATCCGAACAAACCATGTTTTGTGATAAAGTTAAAATCAGTTACAATAATGTTGGACTGTGGTCTATCAGCACACAGTGTTTTGAATTTTTTACCTTTATATCCAATACCAGACTGGAAACCAAATAAAGCAGCAGCTTGGATACCTAAGAACTTCTCTGACCCACAAATTGAAGGGGTATGGATATATTTTAATTTTCTATTAAATTCTTCATAAACTTATTGATTATTAATAACTAAGTTTGTTTATTATGATTGTTTAAAAATGTATTAAATAGGAACTTAATGAATGTATGACTAATCAAGTTCTTGTAAATTCTGCACCTGAATTCATGACGCCACTAACAAAGTTAGTTGACTTTGCTGACATTGATGTTATTTTGGTGTCCAACTATATGACCATGTTGGCTTTACCATTTATTACTGAAAATACAGGTTTCAAAGGGGTTGTGTACATGACTGAACCGACTTTACACATAGGAAAGTGAGACATAAAAAATTGTTCAATAGTTATAAACATAGATATGCTCAGTTCAGGTTAAGATTGAACCGGCTTCACGCATGCAGACTGAGCCGGCGGACAATGCCTGAACTCCCCCCCCCCATGCGATGGCAATGTGTTCTGTGATGGGCCGGCTGTCGTCAATTGTCGGCGCTGGTGCTGGCGGCCGTGCATATGCTCCCACCGGTGTCCGGAATGCCCGAAAAAAATGTGTTTTGGTCGAGCGAGCTGTTCAATCTTAATCTGAACAGAGTATAGTATGTAACATTTTATTTTGTTTTTAGATTATTTCTTGAAGAACTAGTAGATTTTGTTGAACAGTCACCAAAACCTAATGTTGCTAAATACTGGAAGGAAATCTTGCACTTACTGCCACCACCATTGTGTAACAGTTTCAAACCTCATACATGGAAGCAATTGTACAGTCTTGCACAAGTTAATTCAAGCTTAACACGTGTGCAAATGATCAGTTATGATCAAAAAATTGTGAGTCTTATAATTTCATTTTTACATCAGTTACTCAACTATAAATTTTACCTTAGGAAATTACTGGTGCGTTGACTGTAACAGCTGTTAGCTCTGGTTATTGCCTGGGTAGCAGTAATTGGGTGATATATTTGGAAAGTAAGAAATTGGTTTATGTCAGCAATACTTCAACATTAACAACCCATCCAAGGTATTATTTTGAATATTGAACAAGTAAAAAGATTACAATTATAATATTATAATGTTATTGATTCAATGTGCGTTTTCGTAACCTAGACCCATGGATCAATTTAACTTAAAAAATGCTGATCTAATGCTGTTAAGTAGCCTAACACAAGCACCCGCTGCTAATCCAGACACAATGCTCGGAGAACTATGTTTGTCAGTTGCTGTTACATTGCGAAATAATGGTTCAGTCCTTATTCCATGTTATCCATCAGGTGTTGTTTATGATTTATTTGAATGCTTATCATCTCACTTGGACAGCACAGCTTTAGGTCAAATTCCAATGTATTTTATTTCTCCAGTGGCGCATAGTTCTTTAGAATATTCAAACATTCTTGCAGAATGGTCAGTAAAAATAGTATGTGCTTGTTTTAATAGTAAATTAAATAAATATTGTTTCAATGTGATTAGGTTGTCTCAATCAAAACAAAATAAAGTATACTTTCCAGAAGAACCATTTCCACATGCACAATTAGTGAAGTCTGGGCGTTTAAAGCATTTTAAACATGTCTATACAGATGATTTGTGGAACGATTTAAGACAAGTAAACAAAAACGAACCATTTCAAGTTGGCTTATCAAGTTGTAATAATTTTTTAATATTTTTTTAAAGCCTTGTGTGGTATTTTGCGGTCATCCTAGTTTGCGATTCGGTGATGTCGTACATTTTGTGGAATATTGGGGTACAAATCCTCAAAACACAATAATATTCACAGGTAAGTCAGTTTCTTGGTTTAACTGTAAATTAATAATTACATTTTATATTCAGGTAAAAGTACCGATTGGATAATTTTCAAAAACTATGATTTGCATGATTTACTAGTTGTAAATTACATTTAATAGATTTAATTAAAATCGATTAAGATTGTACCCGCATATTGTGTTGTCTCCATCTTACACTTGCACATACCTAATTTTCGTTCACCAATTTCAATAGTGTGCTGTTAGTTTTGATCTTTAAGTGAATTGACCTATTATAAAATTTAAATGTAAGATTATTATCTAGAGCACGACATGGGTTTTTATTGATATTATTATTTTTAAGTATGTTATGATGTTTTTGAAACCGAATGTTTGAAAATGATCATAACTTACTTAAAAATATTAATATAAATAAAAACCCATGTCGTGCCCTAGATAATAATCTTAAATTTAAATTGTCAATTCACTCAAATATCAAAACTAACAGCACACTATTGATACTGGTGAACAAAAATGTTTTATGCTGTACGTGTGTAAGACGAAAGCAACATATGTGAGTATGACGTCTTCTTAATAATTTATATTAAGAACAATAATTTTTGTAAAACATTGTCATGACCAATATTTAACGTTTTAGAACCAGAGTTTCCATATTTAGAAGCCTTAGCTCCGTTCCAACCACTATCTATGAAAGCTATGCACTGTCCTATTGATACAAGTATGAATTTCACCCAGGCCAACAAAATGATTAAAGATCTTAAACCAGCTGTGTTAATTCTTCCCGAGCGTTACGCCATTCCACCAACTGGATTTGGTCATAAAAATGAATTTGTTATTGATCAAGTATGTTAGAAAAACAAAATATTGTAGATACAATTGAATTTTTGTATTATTACTATTTTAGATTGATAGGAAAGTATTAACTATAAGACGAGGCGAAGTTATTTCAGAGAAACTTGATATAAAAACAGTTAATGTACCATTTACAACAGAGATGGTGGTGAGTGTAACACTAAACGAATTACAATCTGGACTAAAGGCATCAAAATTTACAGCTGTTTTAGATACTAAAGATAATAAGTATAAATTAGACGTGAGTTATTTTATTATTTTTAATTATTATATTATATTATAACCATTGTATTACACATTTTTAGATTTTGAGGGATGACTTATTAGCAAATAAGACAACTGAACCTTATTTATTAGAAACATTATTTAAAAAAACTTATGAATGGGGGCAATTGGATATTGATAGGTTTTTACGTGCATTGACAAATGAAGGAGTGAGTGACCCTAAAATTGAACATAACGCACATGGGTATACCATACATCTTGTAAGTTAACTATTTATTATTTTTTTACTTTAATTATTATTGTTTTTACTTTTTATTTACTTGCATTTAGAAATCAGAAGACACATTGATCCAAGTGGATGATAAGTCCACTCATATATTCTGTGAAAAGATGGATAAAAACTGGAGACTTAAACTTAGAAGTATAGTAATGGAGTGCCTTAATTCTTTTTAAATACAATAATTAAATATATTTATTGTTCTACAAGTAATATACACTTTTCAAAGACTGTTATTTACATTAATCTCCATAACTGTTGTCAAAAAACAATTCACGATTAGACAAATAATAGGTAAAACTAGTTGGATACCAGTTCAATTTGTTTATATTTTTTTCGAAAATTTGATACAGGGTCCTTGAATAAAATTGGATCGAATCTTACACTTGACTGAAGTAATGGCATGTAACCAAAAAGTACTACAAAAGTGTTTAAACAAGTTTGTCTTTGCATAAAGTGATCTGGATCATTCCAAGGTGATCTATGGAATTATATAAATATACATTATTAGTATGTACACATTTTAAATCAGTTGTTAATTATTTACTTTGGCATGCCATTGTTAGCTTGTTCTTTGTAGTGTTTTCTTTGTGACACTTTAATTGGTGGACGACGGGTTACATGACTGACTAAAAAGTTCATGAGTATATCTTCACAATTATGTGATTGTTCAACCGTTTTGATTAATAAAGGACTTAACCATTGAGTATATAGTGTATTATAGTATTGATGGTAGAAAGCGGCACCAGTGAGTATTATTGAATATTCATTTGTCCATTTTGATGTATATAACCAAGAGTCCTGTAAATTTTGATTTTATTAATTATATTGATTAATTAAGTCATACATAATATTTCTTTTTAGTTTTTATAATACAGGAAAAAGTTATAAAATTTATTTATTTTTTTAATAGGAGAACTAGTTTTTTTAAGTTTTAAAATTTAAACTTGATAAAATATTGAAAACTATAAAAAAATGTTTAGTGATATTTTATCGGAGTTTTAAATTATTATAGGAATCATATCAGAAAAAAAATATTTATTAAGCTAACCTTGCTGTTGTCCCAATAATGTGATCTAGCCGGAAATCCAACTATTCTATCAGGAAAAGATTGCCAGACATGAAATGCAAAATCAATTTCATCTGTTGTTAAAACTACATCATCATCTAATGATAATATGGCTTCAGTCTTAATAAATGGTAATGGTTCAAATCTCTTACAGCCATTTCCAGATGATACTAATATTTGTATACCAGCAATTTTTTGGTATCCACTTTTACCATTGTTGTCAGCACATGAATTTATAATTATCTAAAATAAAAATGATAAAATGTAGTTCTGTTAGTGTTATGCATCTCAATATAATTACTTGAGTTAAGTATTTGCTTGCAGCTATGTTACGAACTAACCGATACAGTGGTGTGTTTAGACTGTTATGTTGTGAGAATATTACCACAGTAAAATTAGGAGTGGGTTGTTTACCGAATAGATGATAATTGAATGGTAAGTTAAAATTAAGATATTCCGTATACGAATGTTGTGAGACAAGAGCTCCAGGTGATGTGTTCCAAACTATGCCATCCCGAGATTGCAATTTAGGTAAACGCTCTTTAATTATCTGAAAAAGACCCAAACTACAATTAATTCAAACACAGTCATCACATAATTCTATAATAACTACCTCAAACGTAGTAAACACAATTTTCTCAATTGTGTTAAAGTACTGTTCCCATAGAATTTGTGTTTGTTGTCTCAAAGCAAAAAGTTTTGTTTCTGATATCGAATGAATCACTTCTGGTACTTGAAACAGCAATCTTTCGTCAGCCCATATTACAGCTTTATTCCAGTCTATCACTTCATCAAAAGGTAGAGCCCAGTTATTGGACAGCAAAACAGGAATACAACCGGCCTGTAAAGCTTCTAAGAATCTGTAAGATCCTAATCGACGGCCTCTAGGAACTAGACAAAATGTTGAATTTTTAAGTAGAGATCCATAATCATATCTAAAAAGAAAAAAAATAACTATTTAAACTAGTTGTGTAATTTTAAATTGCATTTACTTTTCGTATAAAGTGTTATCAACGTCACATCTTTCATCTTGAGCATCTTTCCAGTTTTTTCCGTGTTTACATGTTGTTACTACAATTGTGTCTTTTCCATTGTGTAAGTGAAAAATAGAATTACGAGTCTCAGACCCACTGCCAAGTACATATCGTTTACCTTTGAACGCCAGTTTATAGTTTTTAGTAATAGGATATGTATTGGAGCGAACAAAACCGGGTTCACCGCCTCTCTCTGGGTGTTTCTATGAACAAAAAAAAAAAAATAGATAAAATTTAATTGTTTACATTAAAATAGTGTTAAATGTAATCACTTTGTGGAATAATGGAAATGAAATATCAAAACCCGGTCTCATATTAGTAACTGACATACTAGCTTTGGCTAAAATAGCATCTCCTGTATGAAATCCAAGGTCGTCTTCATTGTAATCTGGCCAAGAACCAGAATATAGATTAAAAATTACGTGATTTCGGCCACCGTTCCAATGTCTGAGTCTCTGCATTTTCATGGGAATATTGCGTAGGTAGTCTGGAGACAAGGGATCTCTATCTAAAGTATCAATAGCTATCACAAATACACAAGCTTTGGTGTATTCATCTGTGTAATATCTAGATTCCACGATAATATCCAACATTTTCTGATACAAAACACTACGTGTCGAAGTCATTAACCCACTGGTTTCTAATTCAGACAATGGATACACGAACACTCGAAAATCGTTTTCACATCGCGAAGAGTCAAAACATGTCTCCATTCTGAAAAAAAATATTTATTCTACATTATAACTCGTGAATTGAAATAACAAATGACAAAAATTAACCATTTCTGTGCTAATGACATGTATGTGTGCTGAACAAAAACATGAAGCTATACTAATTACATGTACGAGTATACGCTTCCTTCAAAATAAACACTTATTGTATGAAAGTTTTGGAATCCCAAAATAGATAGTAAAACCTCAAAAATTATCAAAGATTTTTTTGCACAGGCAGTGTAAATACTAAAAAATAATCATTGGCCACAGAATGGGTTAAATTTGACTAATAATGGTAACCGTAATTAAAAACCTGCAGTTCTTATTAGTTTTTCTATGTGAGCTGTGATATGGCACTTGTTGTCTAGCTTCGTAGGTTTTCGCAGCAGGAGGACGACCAACTTCTAAACTTTGATGCCAGTCATCCATGAAAGATGGTAGATTTTCCACATCATTGACATTGTAGGTTAGATGGAGCAAAGTCTCTGGTTTTTTTGTCATTTTTAGTAAACACATAACCAAAATAAATAATAAAACAATGAGCCAAATTAATATGAATCGTTTTTTTGCCTGCATATTTAATAAAAATTATATTTATTAAAAAATTATAAATAGGCCATATTAATTATATAATAATTGAGTTCTAAATTATTGACTATGTCACACAATTATAAAAATAGTGTTATATAGTTGTAGATACAAAAATAGTATGAAACAACGTAAGTGACGGAGAAAACATTGTTTTAATGTAAATGTTAAAGTTGAATTCAATAAAATTTAAATTCTTACTACACAGCTCAACAGCTGTCAGCTACTACAAAATAATAATATTATGTCAGATTCATAGATAACATTTTGTCATGTTGTTACCAGACAGTAAACAAAAACGGTTTATATCCATTTTTTATTATCTATGTTAATATCACTCACGGACTAATCGGGTTGCTACT